CCAGAAATTCAACACGCTGCTGTGGCAAAACCAGGCACATGCACTGTGGCTAGTGTTCCAAAGCTGAACTTTTACATTTCTTTTTTGGTGATATATTTTGACACATGGCTCATGAAAGATATCTGAATGTTCTATTCAGCCATTGTTATAGAAAGAGAGCTCTTGAAATCTTGTCTAAATAATGAAAAATATTTGCAATGACTAGTGTCTTAAATCCCTGGGAAGGGAATAGTATATTTAACTTGTGTGTGTTTTACTGATTAGCACATTGCTGATGCTGTGTATGAGTAGTAGAGTGTATGCAGAGGGGTGTACTGACAAATAGTGGAGGGATAAAACTGTAAACTTCAAAAAAGAACTCCCAGGTATCATTTGGCTTAAAATAATGCATTGCCGCAGTGAAAAGTAAAAAACCTCACATAAGGTAATATTACAGGCCTTCCTTTGCTAACTAGAGCAATGAAGTAGAAGAATCATTTGATATTAAAGTGTAAATGGAGGATTATATAGAATCATAGACATGTTGGTTTAAAGACTACCATAGGTCATCTGGTCCAGCCTCACACTTGAAGCAGAACTAGTGCAATAATAGGTAGGTCAGCCATGGTTTAGTCTATCCAAGTCCTGCACATCTGCAAGGTCAAATATCTGTTCTCAACTTCACCACTCAATGCCTCTTCTCTGTCTGGAAATGCTTTCCTATTTCCTGTTTAGATTCCAAGGATAAATTGATAATGTCTTCTGAGACATCACTGATGTAGGTATGTCCTGGTTTCAGCTGAGAGAACTGATTTTCTTCATGGTAGCTAGTGTGGGGATATATTTTGGATTTGTGCTGGAGACAGCATTGATAATATAGAGATGTAAAACCACGACAAGGTACTATGTGATAATGGGGACATACAGATTTATTGTTATTATGACATTACTATAGTTTGTTTTCATTTGGAGCTGATAAGATGATACATCCAGCATTCAGAGATGAAAAAATCAGGTCAAAACTATGTATTTTATTACATCTTTTTCTTCAAGAATTATATTAGTTGCAAGACCATCTGAAGTTTAGAAATAATTCCATAGTACTGCATGATAATAATGTGAGACCTTTCCAGGTGGTCAAGAGACCATTCTTTCCTGACTGCTATGAAGAGACCCACATAATGAATTGTCCAAGCCTTAGTCTGATGGCCATGCCTAGGAGGCTGTAAGCCTTATTTCTGTCTTGTGCAAGCCACATAATTGCTTTTGTTCATGTGCTTGTGATTTCATTTCCCAGGTTTAAAGGGTTCAAGAGCTATAACAGGTGCCCTGAGTTCGTGCCTGTTACTTGGCTTAAACCATTGAGCATTTCCCTAATGAGCCATAGAACTGGAACTCTTTCTCCAAACTGTGTTTCATGTTTTCCCTGAATACTTCTCTCCATTGTCTAAAATGCTCCATTTGTTGCCAAAAAGCATTGTCTGAGCCTCACATAATAAAACCAGTAAAATACAGTGTAAGTGTCTAACTGCTCAGTTTGCTGCTGCTATGATTTGAAGAGTTTCTCTGACCACTTGCTGCATTTCAGGCTGAGACAGCTGCTGGTTTGCACTTGTAACACCAAATGCCCATCCCACAGATACCAGCTCTGCAAGATGTATGGGAGTTGTTCAAAGGCATAGCATCAAAGTGTGGCAGCTGCACTGTGCTCTGAGAGGGACAGATCTGGTTGTCCCCATCTCTTGTGACCAGGCATCTCTAAGCAGTTCCTGAACAATAGCATATGTGTGCCTGTGCACGTGGCTTTAATAGTGTAATGCATACGCTGTACTAGCTCTCGGGCTCTATTTAAATTCTCAGTTCCTTCCTTTGGGAGAGCAGATGAGTGGTTGGCACTTTCCAGGAATGTAATGGGCATTGTGGGAACAGTTGATAGCCATGTGCCCGAAGCTGTTAACAAGCACAAGAGAATTTCATCTGGTAAAGAAATGAAGTGAGAACAGTGTGTGTAAGACGTGGTATGTAAGTGCTGCCTGCTATGCTTGCCCAAGCAGTGCAAACCTTCCAGCTTCCGCTCAGCTGGAATGCCCAACAAAACGGACTCTATGGTCTAAATGTTTGTCATCTTAATCCTGCTTGCCGTGTATGCATAACGACCAGCTTTGCAGGATCAACGTAACAGATATGTTAAAATAAGTCAATGACCTTCCCTCTCTGTCTCAAGAGACACTAACTTTCTACCTAAGAAAAAATACTTAAAAAAAAACCCTCACTGCAGTTGAGAAGACCAAAGATTCCATAAAGTATAGTAAACTCGTCACAATACGGATCTGATTAGTCTGGGCAATAGTTAGACATTACTGTCAAGTGTTTAGAAAACTTTAAAGCTAACAGCTTGGTACAGTCAGAAGCATCCTGTAAACACTGAACAAGAAATTTTAGCGGCACTGTAAAATATCTATACTTAATTTGTTTTCTGCCATATTCTGACCTCACAGTTCCTCCTCAATGTTTGACATACAGGAAGAGGATCAATCCTTTCCTGAAAACAATTACATAGGCTGACTTCTTCCTTTTTATTCCACAACTCTGGCCTACAAACACTGGTCCTAGAATGTCCCATGGAAGGATATGGTTTGATGTTGTTTAGGGTTTTTTCTCTTTTCTATTCCCTTACCATTTCACAGTAGCTCCTTCCTCAGACACTTCACACTCAAACTCCACTCTCTCTCCAACCATCACCATCTGGTCCTCCAGTGGGTGAGTGATCAGGATTGGAGGTTCTGGAAATGAAGAGACTTTTAATTAAAACAATATCCTGAAAGACTGAAGACCAGAGGTAGATTTCATCACTCTGCACTCCATGGGAAGAACCCCTGGCCAAATACATGGTGATGCTCTCTGTGTTGAAACTTAAAATTTATTATGCTGGATCACATTAGCAATGTTATCAAATGACCTTTTGGGTTTTTTTGCTTCACGAGACAGAATACAAACACAGGATTAATCAGTTTTCGTATATATTCTGAAATTCTAAACTGGAAGCATTAGTTTTCTGTACTACTTGATCTGCTTTCAGAGCTTGAGGGACATGTTTATCTTGAGAGGAATCAATTTTTTAAAGTAAGTTTCTAGCCCTATTGTTGGGAAGACGTAAATCACTTTCCAAATGAGAATTAATGGTAATTATTACTGTGCTGTTTTCCTGTGCTTTCTTAGTTACAGCTATAGGGACAAAAAATCTTCCTTCATTTAACTGTAAGAAAAATATCTACTTCAACAGATGTCAGAATTATTCTCATATGTTTGAGAATTTCCTTTCTTACAAGATTAACTGATCTGAGAGTAGAGAAGGGGACAGTAAGCCAACGTTAAATGTTAGGGGAGATCTCTCTCTTTTTGCTACCGTTGCTCACCTTTTACAAATAATTCTGTGAAGCTCTTTTCCTCCCCTACCACACATTCATATGCTGCATCGTCAGCCAGAGAGCAGTGGTTTATGGTCAATATTCTCTTATTCCCAACAGCCTCAAAAATGTATCTGAAAAGAGAATCTTATTATTAATTATCAGATAGTAACTCTTTTGGACCCAGTCACTGTCTTCCCCTGCCTAGCAGAGAAAATGTTCGTACTTTTTTTTTCTGACCTCAGTGGCAAGGTTTGTTAAGACTCAAACCCTATATTCCTGTCTCAGTGACAGCAGTAGTGTTTGAAAAACTAGCATGAGAAATTATGGAGAAATCTTTGTACAAGTGTGGCACATACAAACTCCTGTGAATGGTGTTGGATGCTTTTCTAACATCTAGTCATACAACAAATCTGACTACCGTGAAAAATGCCTTGTCATGGCTTCAGCACAAAATCACTGGAAATTGGTTTTACAAACAAGCTACACTGAAGTATGTCCCACATCACAAGAAATTAGTTTTGAACCCTGGATATACACATAAAGATCAGAATGTAATCTGAGGACTTACTTGCTAAGTAGGTGTATGTAAGCATCCAGTTCCATGTGTAGATATATAGAGCAGAGGGAAGAAAAAAGAAACAGTCATGAGAACAGCAAATTGGCCCTGAGCCAAAGCACTATGTAGATTCTTTCTCAGCTCCTATGTCTCCCTATTTTAGAATATAATCATAGAACCATTTTGGTAGGGAAAGACCTCGAAGATCATCAAGTCCAATTGATTAACCTAGCCCTGCCAACTCCACCACTAAACCATGTTCCTAAGGATCACATCTACACCTCTTTGAAATACCTCCAGGGATGGTGACTCAACCACTTCCCTGGGCATCCTGTTCCAATGCTTGACAACCCTTTTGGGGAAAAGATTTTTCCTAATACCCAATCTAAACTTCCCCTGGCACAACTTGAGGCCATTTCCTCTTGTCCTATTGCTTGTTACTTGGGAGAAGAGACCAACACCCACCTGGCTACAACCTCCTTTCAGGTAGTTGTAGGGAGCGATAAGGTCTCCCCTCCTTTTCTCCAGGCTGAACAATCCCCATTCCCTCAGCCGCTCCTCAAAAGCCTTGTGCTCTAGACCCTTCACCAGCTTTGTTGCCCTTCTCTGGACATGCTCTAGCACCTCAATGTCTTTCTTGTAGTGAGGGGCCCAAAACTGAACACAACACTCGAGGTGTGGCCTCACCAATGCCTGTTGGCACCTCACCAACGCCAGTCCTGCTGGCCACACTATTGCTGATACAAGCCAGGACGCTTGAATTAGATTCCTTCCTTTCTAAGAAAAGCTAGTTTTCTACTTTGTCCAAGCTGTACCCCATTTCTTTTTGGATTTCTCATATTTCTAGTTTACCTGCCGCTCACTTGGATCTCCTGTCCATTCTTCAGCCATTTCACATCAGCATCTGGATTGGCAACTTCGATCGTTAATTTAATCTTTTGCCCTTTGTCCACTTGGTAAGCTGGATCCAGTTTCTTGAGGAATGCTGTGATGAGGAATGATTTTTTTTAAAAAAGAATATCTTAATAATTTTTATACTTTTTTTTCATTCTGTCAGGAAAATAAATCTTTATTTTCTTTCCTGTTGTTTACTGTCCTCTTAAATCTTCCTCACTTTCTGCATCCCTTTTTGCATTTTTACCATTTCTGTCTGTTCTTCATCCTGTTCTATTTTCTGTTATTCCTTAACATAGGATGAAACGCATATGATATAAACTAAAATAACCCAAGTAGAATATTCTAAATCAGATGTGAATATGTACTTCAAAACATCCTAAACAGAGTTACAATGATGTCTTCCCACGTAGGAAAATGATACTGATCTCAGTAATAACATATGCCAGCTTGCCTTCTCTGTTTCAGACTTTTAAAACAAATTAGTTAAAATTAATGAATACTTCACAAGACTAGAAAAGGCTCAGGAATCCCAAAAGTATCATCCCAATGGAAATTAAATTCTTTAAATGTATCACTGATGCCTGACATACTGACCAGTTTCTGGGGTGGGGGAAGTGAGGGGTGTTGTTGCTTTATGTTGAGGGAAAGATAAGGGGCAGAGCAGAAGAAACTAGTAAAATGAGCAGGTTCAGAATATCCAGAGTTTCAGAGCAAGGTATCTCAGAGCTTTGGGCATAGCTTTAATCTTTGGTAATCAGCATTTCACGTGTAAAGACTGTGTAACAATTGCAATAGGAAACTCCTATTTCTTGTGCTCTTCTATTTGGCTGCTGTCCAGCTGATGTTAGTATTTGAAGAACTCCCATAGAGGAAGATATGGACACGTATATTTGGAACAAATACAGCTCGCTAACCTGTACTTTTTTTCTCTTCCTTCTTTATGCGTTTGAGGCGTTTCAGCATCCCACGCAAGTCTGTGATACCATACTGAAAAGCAATTTTCTCATATTCAGAAGGAGGAGCTTTCCTCAGGATTTCCCAGACATCAACATCAGATTGTGATTCAGATTTTGCTTCACCTCTGCAGAAAGAGATTAGAGTATCTGAACACCACTATTGAGAGGATTTAAAAACAGCCCTAGGCTTGGCAAGCTACATAGTGGCTTGATGAAGCCACTTAATAAAGAATTAAGCAGTCTAACTTTTTGCTATATTATTCCATAAAATAATGAAATAAAACTGGTGACTAATTTTACTTCTATTTATATATACAGTAATTAAAATGCAATCGTTGTCCTGAACGGTTTACTTTCTTGCCAAAGCAAATCAATATTAATTTCCCTTTAACGATGGGTAATGGAAACACAAGGAGACTTATTTTCCAGTGATGGTCATACACAAAACATGGCAAAGCAAGGAACTGAACTGATATCCTGAGAACGCCTTAGAAACAAGGCAGTTGGTTTATGTTAATAAGAAACAAGTCCTTTTCTACTCAGGACAGTTTTTTCTCTTCACTAAAATGAATCACAGATTATTAAAATATTTGTCATCTATTGTAAAGACAATTGTTGGCTATAGTAATCTATAAAACATGAAGACATATAGACTGGTGAGTAGCGGCAAACAGGACAATATTTACAATGGACTACTTATAGTTTAACCAACAAACTAGTGATTATGGAAGAATTAATGTTTGGTTTAGCAAAACCAAGTGAAAGTTTGGTTGTCTGGCTTTGGGAAAGGCATTTTTTTTCTGTCATCGTATTTTTTTATTTAAAAGATCATAAATAGAAAAAAAAATTGACTGAACCTTACCGATTTACTGAGCGCAAGAAGCTGCTGTACTCCAGAACAACGCAGAGAACCGTTTGAAAAAACATGCAGCATCCCGATGGGCAAGAAAGAAGGCATCATGTGTTAATACAAAAGATCCATGAATGTCATCAACAAGCCTGTGCTTCAGTGGCAGTGAGATGAAGGAGCTCATGCAAAAGCTGAAATAGGCTTAAGAAAAATGCTGTTCCCTATTGAAACCAAACTCACTCCCACTTTGTACAGTTCCACTCTCCAATTTATACTATAAGCACTTCTGCTTAATTCCTAATTATGGCTGATTGCGTTACAAGGAAACAAACAGCTCTACTTTGCTCTATCGTCATGGAGTTGTTGCCTGTCATAGTTTGCATTTTGGTAAACAGAAAGGATGCAAGAAGTAACATTTTCTTAAAAATTTCTTTAGGAAAGGGAACTTCCTGTGGCTGTTGTTTCTGACACCGCTGGGACCAAGCAGATTCCAGTGCAGCAGAACACATCCTTATAATGAAGCCATGCTCAGTGGTAAACCCCAACAAGAAGACAAGTTATGCAGCAGGCAATGCAGAGAAAAGTGGAGGATTATTGGGCATATTTCCATTTTTTTCAGGAAAAGAACAGCCCCATTACTCTGTGAGAAATATTACTACTTAAAAAAAGCATGGCTGTAGTCAGTCTAGACAAAGGTATAACCAAACATTTCTGGTACTCCCTTTATTGCCCCCAAAAGGCTTGCTTGCAATGAGAGCTCTGTGTTTATTAAAGTACTGCAATTCAGGCTTGGGATTTCCAGCACCCTGGTAGCTCTTGAACAAAAAGGAAGCAAGAGAAGAGTTTGAGCTGAAATATGGCATGCAATATCCTACATCTTTGGAGTGGTTTAGCACTCGCTAAGCACTAAGCCCTCGCTAGCACTCATTGAATTGATAGGTGTATCTGAAGTTTGGACTCCTTGGGGTAAGTGCAGCCTGGTGGGTATTTGCTTTGTCATAACAGTGCATCAACATCACCCACAAATTTAATCAGAATTAATCTTCTAATCTATCATTTAGTTTGGGGCAGCTACAAATGGGTTGTAGTTTTGCCTAGCAGAAGGCAGGACAATTGAACTGATTTGCCAAATAGACCAAGATTATTTTTTTTAAACATAAGCAGTTCTTACGCTAGTTGCCCTGATCATATTAATGGGCAACTTTAAAATATTTTTAAACACGTGTAAATTGGAATAGATATATAAGTACATAAAGCTAGGAATATATAATATTTCTAATATGTGCCGAGTTCTTTGTACTAGTACAATTAATGTTCTGTGGAGCAAACTATATCTCAAAAGGAAATATAAAATCATAGGAAATAAGAAAGACTTAACAGATTAAAATGTTGCTATTTTTCCCTCAGGCTTTATATAAATATTGGCAGTCTCTCTGTCTATCTGCCTACTTATATACTCATCCGTATACACCCCTTTACCTGAAAATTTTCAGATAGGATTATTCATGGAGTTTTCAAAAATATTTTGTGTGAGTTATTTTTAAATATATCCTGAGAAAAATCTTCCAATTTGGAAGCGATTCCACAGTCTAGCATGTCTCACTATTGAGAAGACTTCCTTAATTTTTACTTTAGCTTTTCCATTACTCAGTCATCCCATTGTTATACCTGGCAGTACTGTTTCGGTGTACACAAGCTGAAATACAAGAAATTTGTAAGGAAGAGTATAGTCTCCTGTTTGGAAATAATAGTATTTTCTAATTAGAAGGAAAGGCTTGTAAGTTGCATGTAAAATGGTACTAAAAGCTAAAGCTTGTAATTTGTATAGTATTTGATTGAGTTCTGAAAAGGAAAGAAAAAAATGTCTTTGCCTCTGAGCAAATGTTTCCCCATCCCAGTACTCCTTTTCACCGTTTTGTATTTGTTAAAACATTCTCCCATAAAGACGCAGAGTTTCCACAGTTAGGCTGTACCCTTCCTCTACCAAGAGGAACTAAGCAGTGCGTGAAGAGTAACAGAGCACTTGGACTCCTGAAGTTTCTCCCACCCTTACGTTACTCTCCCTGGTGTTGGGGATCCTGATTCAACGCGATCACCTCATAGGTTAACTATGCGCTTGGGGGCATTAAGATGCAGCTTAGTGAACCTGCTGTAAATGGAATATGCAGCTGATACGTTTTAAACATATGTGGAGGGGTTAAAAATAGTTTTGTACATCCCAGAGATGGTTCCTTCCTATCCCATTGCTGTCAACTGATTGGACCCTGTCAGCTGTCACCTCCTTCAAGGTCTCTGCTCACTATCCCATTTAATAGTTCTGTGACAGCTGTTCCCTTCCTCTTCCCAGTGACCTCTCCTTGGCCCATGACATCTGTATGTCAACACCAGTTAATTAAATTACAGCAAGAGGAGATATAATATTAAATGAAGCTCTCTTTATTATAGTGGGAATGTTCATTACCTCTGGACTGAGGGGCACTTGTAAATTAGGTGGGACAAAGCAGAAGTGGTAGAAAAATAATCTTCAATTCTCTTTGAATTTGCATAGCTCTTGAGTGTTCCTATTCTATTCTATTCTATTCTAATGAAGAATACTTTCATTGCATGATGAGTTTTTATGCCTATCAGTTCTCATTAATATAGGAGTGGTCTTCAACCTGTGGTTTGCAAAGCCTGAAAGATCCATGAATTGTGGCTGTGAAAAACAACTAGGAGCAGTGAATTTACCAGTATGCTTAAATTCACTAAACAGAGATTTGTAAGTCAAGAAAGGTCAAAACCACTGATAGAATGCAGTGACATTTATAAGCTTCTTTTAATGAATTATATTTCTGGTCTGACAAATAATGAACAGTTAAATCAACAAATTGAACATTTCTGGAAATACCGGAGATTTTCACTACTTTTTAGAGTTCCATCAAAACTGACTATGAAAGCAGAAGGGAAAGGCACTATGAGAGGGGCTCACGGTACTTAGCACTTCATTCCAGCTGGAGTCACTGTATGAAATTATGCAAATATTTTCATGTTGGCCTTTATTTACTTGATTTTTTAAAAAAAGAGATCAACAATTCTTTTTTGCCTTACATTTTCTATGAAAATTAGGATGTGTGTACAACTACTCTATTTGAACTCTCAGACCTGTATAGTTTTGATTACTGCCATATTTTCCCTACTTTAGAATTAAAAAAAAAAAATCTAATGCACTTTTGGTTTCAGACTTCTCTGAGGTTCATGATGAAACAAGAAACTTTTTATAAACAGTGATACCAATACCTTGGGAGAGACTGAAGGCAGGTTCAGAACAACATTCATCCAAGTAGTTGATTGTGAAAACTTAAACTAAGTTTAGATTTGCAAAACATGAGTCTAGTGACAAGTGTTTGTACTAAGTTCAGGAGCTGGAAAGACAAAGTGAGTGGACAGGGGCCGTAAACAGAAAGAAGCATCTTTGGAGGAATGCGATGATAATGAGCAATGCAAACTTTACTTGGAATAAAAAGACATGACTTGTTACAGAGAAGCCTGGACGTTTATGGAATAAGTGACTTCAGCCATACGTTCACTTCACATGTTTAAGGATGGATAGAACAAAACTTCAGCACATATTTGATAGGCACCAGCAGGCAAATTATTTTTCTGATTCTAATTTCTATGACAATGGAAATTTAAAGCAACAGATTATTGAGAAAATCTGGAAATTCAAGGACAATTTAAAACTGCTTATAAAAGAAAGTGGTGGTGAAAACCAAAGGACATTCAGAGAAATACATTGATTTGTATTCAATGTTCCACCCTTAACTAATGGTTTAAAACATTTCTGTCTTAGAAATTTTCTAATAATTTTTCTTTCATACTATCTAATTTTTGTCATGGTCTACATGTAAGAAAGATAAAAATGCATGCATTATTTTAAAACCAAATGGTTCTTATATTCAGTCTAACCCATGCATTTATAATAAAATGAAATAGAAATCTTACTCTCTGTTGGCAACAATGGAATCCAAAACATCCAGATTAAGATGGTGGTAAAAAGAGAAAAACATAAGTAGGTAGGTTATGAAAACAGATGTGGTAAGGAAGGATGAGAATGGGAGAGGAAATTCCACCAAAAAAAAGTGAAAGTAAAAGCAAGAAATAAGAATTAGAATCAGAAGAGTAAAAAATATTTATATAATATTTACACAATATAGAATCTCTTCTTAAATATATGATAAACAGCTATATAATTTAAAATATAGAGTTGTATAGTGTAATAGTAATATTTAGATATCTAATAAAAAGGCTTGTCCTCCCAGCTCTCTGATGCGAAGTATTGTGAAAACATAGGACAGAAAATTCCTAATAAGGTGAAGTATTGTAAATTGTTGTTCTGTTTTGGCGGGTTTTTTTAATAGAAAGTGCTGGTGGAAGCATGTAATTACCCTAGTCCCAGCCTTTTCTATCTTGAAAAAATCAATCTCTCTTTTTACACCCCCCCACCCCCACCCCATTATAAACCTTGCGGAAATGCAGCAAATGCTGAGTATTTGGGGAAGTTGCCATAATTAACTGTCATCCTTTTTCCAGTTAGACCTGCTTTAGGAAAACAACAAGGATTCTGAATTTATGAAACTTTTGCTTATTCTAGTTTTAGTGTTTTCAGAGTTGTTTGCAGAAGCTGGTTACTTAATTTCTCCAAGTCTATGGATTTTTACTCACCTCTTTTTCAGTAAGGCACTAAAATTAAACTCTCCACCTTCTTCATGTCCCTCGGTACTGTACAGTAACAGAAAACCATAATTAGTTTCAGGAAGAAATAGGAATAGCTTGTGAGACTACATCATTGTGTAGATGATATATTTTTGTAGGGGAGTAGTAGATGGGTTTAGAATGACTTAGAATGTGCACTGACATGGAAGGTGACTTAATTAGGCTTTGTCCATATTGGCCTTCATATAGGTTTAAGAAACATATTTAGTGAACTTGTATTTTTTTTCTGTAGTGATTATGGGTAAAGTTGTACAGGGTATTAATTTGGTGATCATATTGATCTGGAATGTATTCATTATCATAAAGATGCTGCAGAAGCTTTCCTTTAGAATCATTAGTGCTTTTGGATAACTGTATTTTCAGGAGTGTGAATATTGTTTACAGTGTGGGGCTGTATTTAACCGACCTTTTTGTGGGACTTCTTACAATCTAAAATAATTTTTTTCCTAGTATTATCCCCGCTGTAATTTTTTCTTAAGGCTGTTTGTGATTCCAGAATTCATTATACTGAAAAAAGTGTCACATCATTGGTGCTTGGGAGAGTTAAAGGCGGAAATCTGTGATCTGCCTTTGAGTCTGAGATGAGGTTCCACATGCAGTTGCTCAACAAGCATCGTGGCAAGCAATGTGATGAATTGATTCTATGATGATAAGAAGCAACAAGCAGGAGGTTTTTGATGTGTAATTCTGTCTGTTACATATGGTGAACTCAGATGGAATGCATAACGTTATTTTTGGTGTTCTGAATCAAATGTGTTTTAGCTGTGCTTCTGAACATTTGAAGTACAGATCTACTCTGAAAACTTAGCATAAAGTCACTAAAATAACTTCTTTGGGTTTAATTCCAAAATCACTTTGGGGATTTGATATAAAAGTATTGGGAGTTACACTGGATTTCATGACTATTGATGATTCAACTTTTTTGTCTTTTTTGCGTTCAGACAGGGTTTAGAAAGTCCAAATGGATTTTCTCCATCTCAGTCAGTCTCCCATCATCAATGTTCAGCTGCTCCTTGACATCTCTGTGATCTCGAGTAAGAATCTGGTGATGCCATCTCACAGCATTCAGATTCTTCCAGCAGCGATACCTTATATTTAATTATTGGTTTATACACAAAAATTATTCCTTTCAGTTGTACTGGTGGTAGTGGTATCCCATAATGCTGCCTCTGTCAATACACAGTGCTAGTTGCTTCAGAGAAAATCAGTCTGTCTGTAGAAGTGTAAACCAGAATGTCAGGAAAACTCAATATTGCAGGAACAAATATTTTAGAAAGTAAGAAAACAGCCTCAACAGATAAATGATGGGCATTTTAACAATACTGTTAATAAAATGAAAGAGAAAAAAGTGCCAAACTTCTTGTGCTGCTTGACAATGCAAAGTTGGTGAGAATAAGTAACAATTTTGAATCAGTGTAAATTTGAATATGTTGTGAGAAGAGATCTTTTTATTAAGGAAGTACCAATTTTACTTCTGTGATTACTTCGAAGATAGTACAGTATTGGAAAGGATACTTTTCTGGGTATAATGTTCAAACAGAAAAGTGTGGGTTTGGCCACTTTTTTCCCTACTTTGAGAAGGCTTTCAGTGCTTGCAGGCATAAAATGCACATAAATATCACTAGTATAATCCCAAATTTGAAAAGGGCTTCTTGTGATCAAATATTGAGGAAATCAGAATACAACTGGGAGAATAACTAGTCACCTTATTGCTTCCCAGGTGATACTTAAATCAGATTTTCAGGAAAACCTAGCAATCAACGTTTAGCTTTTCTGAAGGATAAGACCCTAATAATTGCTTTAACATGCACAGAGTTACGTCTAATCTCAGAGTTCCTGTTTTTGTTACGGTAGAAGACATTGGTACCAAAAGGGATAGGGTAGGAAGTTTAATGTTTCTAGGATAAAGAGTGTGCCAGGAAACAACAGGTTTTCACATACAGGTGCGCTGATACATTTCTGTGAGCAGTGGCAATTTTATTCAGGATGTGCTCAGCAGAGAGGAAAACATGTAAAAGAGAGGGGGCAGACATGCATATAATTTGAAGTGACTTTTTTTCTTCTAACAATGGTGAGAAGATGCCACTTGCCAGACACGTGCATTTTCTGTAGATGAATCTGCCTCTCACTGAACTATCAAGCGACTCTTTTAATTATTTATACTCATCTTGCATTACTACTTACTTGTATGTATTTGTCTCACAGAAATACTATATACTATAAATGATGGTTTATTTGGAATTTAAGCTGCAACTAGTTCTGTGAGGTGTTTTGGGTTTTTGGTTGGTTGGTTGTGTTTTTTTTTTTCCTTTTCTTTTTTTCTTTTCCTAAGCAGAGAGAGACAGTTCATTGTTAGGCAATGATTTATCTGCTGACACAGACAGTGGCTACCTGAGAAAGGCTGAAGTCATCCGTCTCCCCCCTCCTGCCAGGCTCCTGAGTGGTATCAAAGACAAAGCTTCAGATTTAAACAGTTCAGTTCAAAATTTGGCTCCTTTCTTACAGAAGAAACTGAAAATCTGAACAACCTGAAGCTGCTCACACTGCACTCACCCTGAAATGGTTCTAAATTCTTTTAGTTGTGCTAGAAAGAAGAGAAAGTCTTGAAGCCTGATTTCGCTGCAATGAAATAACACAATGCAGCTATGCACGGGGTGTCCTCTGTTTCAGAGGCATCACAGCAAGGCTGGTCAGCTACCTATAGATGGATTTGACTGTAGGTAACTTCTGCAAGCCTTTTTCAGTTCTTTGTGATAAAATGTTAAAAAAAAAATCTCATATAAACATAGTACTTATAGGGAAAAACTCAAGAAGTTGCCACAGATGATTTGTGTCCTGTGTTAGAGAAATAGAAGTCTGTTGGAATATTCTTGATCTAGTAACTTTGCAAAAATATGTAACAATTAAAGCAGAAACTGAATTACACAAAGGGAGAAGAAATGCTCAACAGTGAAAAAACATATGTTGTTAATGTCTAAATAAATAAAAAAACCCAACCAGTTTTGCAACTTTTACTAATAGAAGGGAACATTATTCCATTAAGTCATATATCAATTCAGACAGTATTACAGATGTGGGGAGAATAGCCTGTAGTAGTATCTAAGAGCTACATGTAACTGAGTTTTTACACTGCCACTTACAGTATAATTGTCTTCATTCAATTAATATGAGTATAGAACATGAAAACAAATGCAATCAAAATGCTTATATTAATGTTTGCAATGATATGCTGATTACAGAGCTCACATCAAACTCCACTTCTTCGTTCAGCTAATGTTTCTATTAAGGTACGTGTAGTTCCTCAAGCCAGACCAAATCAAGACTAGGGGCTACACAGAATCTTTTCCTTCTCTATTACTCTAGGTCTCGAGTGCTCTTTCCAGGTCTGGAAAAAAGTGCTGAAGTTCTTGGTAGAATTATACACATTATCAATTGCATAACTGAAGACAAGCATGATTGTTATGCTAGTACAAAGTCTAAATTCTCTTAGATGATTTCTAGGAGTTGTATGGTATTTTAATAGAAGTATTTTCTTAATAGAAATGTTTTCTCAGTAGACATCCCTATCTTTGTGCTTGTTTGTGCAACAGCTTTGCTTTAGTTAGTTTTGTCTAGGAAAGTAATGAATTCTGCATGGAAGTATAATCTAATCTACATAAGTTTCTACTGTACATACTCACGTGCGTCGGAAGGCAGCGCGAATATCCAAGTCTCCAGTTATTGGTGCTTCTGATGTGACAAAAAGTGACGAACAAGAATGGGAGAGCAAGTCAAACAATGCAAAAATACAGTGCTATTCCTAAGGCTTTTCCTTTCCAGACAGTTTTTTTTTCTAAAGTTCTTCTATTGTAAATTGTGATCTGTTATGTATCGAAAGATTGAAGCATCACCTTTAAGCATGTAGCCTTCACTGATTAGTTTTCAACATCCAGTGTTTTGTGTATAACTTAATTCTGCCTCATGCTTCATAACAACCTGCAGCATGACAAACCATCTTGTCTCTTGTTTGTCAGTTCTCCTGCTGGTAAATTTTAGTTTCAGTACTGGTTTCACAGAGTATTTAAACCCTAAAGAGAAAACCACTGGATATCAACTGAATATTATTACTACTAATAAATTGTATTCCATTCTCTGAAAGCAAAGGTAAATTCCTAGAAATATGTAGAGATGTACAGAAACTTCACTGAGGATGTTGCATAGAGAGAACTTTATTACTCTGTTCTAAGCTTCTGTTGGTATGAATAGGTGTACTGCTACTACTGGGAGAAAAACGGTTCTCAGTCACAGCGCCTAAGTCTTTCATATGAGTCTTACAGTCAACTAGTGAAACTTCAAAAATGAACACTGCTGGTTGAGTAAGCTCAATAAACTTTTGGCTTTGCATATTAGGCTCATTGGTTGCTGGACAGCAATTAACATTGCAGTCCCTCCAACAGAACCACTGAAACAGGAAATGGTCCAAATGTTCAAGTCTTTCAGGTGGTCCACGCTTATACTGTTTTATCTAAACTCTTCCACACTAGCGGTAACTCATGTTAAAATTTACTTCCTTTTCAGTTGCTGATAAGCTTTTCAGTATAGCAGTTGTGAGGGTGGCATCATGTATTATGTAAAATGAGTCATCTAATCTTAAAGCAATTTTATATCACAAGGTGCTTCTGCATGACTTGAATTTATTGGGAAGAAAGGAACTGATAATAGCATCACATACCTAAATCTTTAAATTTCCTCCTTTTTTTTTTAATTTCAAATATCCATTTTTATTACTGCACTTTTGCCAAAGAAAGAATGGACCTCTCTTTTAGTCTAGTGGAATTAAATATCATGAAAGAATGCTTCTGAAATCAGAATAAAACCAGAGAAAAGTTGGGCTGATTTGCATCTTTCTGTGTTCTTTCTTTAAAAGCATCTCAGTTCTGACTTGAGTGACATCCAAATGTTACTTCTAATGCTCTATATCTCTGCCAACCCATCCCAATCCTCATCTGTGGGCCTCTGTAAGTGTACCTTTAGCTCTCCAGGTCTACACTTCAGATCTATGCTTGTCTAGTAGCCACTATGCACCAGAAAGAACTGTTGGTGAGCTCACAGGAAGAAAAAAAATAATAAAAGGAAGAAACAAGGTGGCAGGAATTCATCTTACCATTGACTGTCAGGTTGAAATTCGAACTATCAAACTTGTCCTTGGTAGACACCTCACATCTGTACCCTCCTGCGAAAGTCATGTTTGCTTCTATGATTTCCATTTCAAAGGTGTACACCTAGAACAGGCACCAGTGATGCAATTCAGAAGTTAGAAAATGAAATGGTGAAATGGAGAGAGAGCAAGCAAAAATACAGCATATTAAGGCATGGAGAAAAATAGACAAATATACCTCTGTGTCCTTTTAGAATGTAGAACCTCCTGAACATGTAATTCATTACTGTCATAAAAATTACATATACCTCTCCTTCCCCCAATTCAGTAGGAACAGCTAGAAAGTATTATCGGTACAGTTCTTCCAGAGGATATGATGTTAAATTAGCAAACTCTGCAGGTGTACTGGTGTGTGCAGTCATTACATGCACTAATTGCATGTACCTTGGAAACAGGAATAGAGCTTTTGTTACACAAAACAAATACAGCCTCTACCCAGAATCTCTACAGTACATTGAAAAATTCAGCGGTATGGGCTAATGTGAGCAAGTCTGTTCTGTTCCATCCAGGAGAGGGTAGTAGTGTTTCACATACCACACAGGGTGAGAAGTCATGGTACAGACTCTCTTGTAATCCTGTTTGTATATCTTTGAACGCATTTGTGGTAAAAATGGATCTTACTCGGCTATTTAAAGTAGTCTAGACAATGCAAGAGAACAATAAATTCCAACACTAATAACTGAATGCTTGATCTATTAAAACCCAGATAGACCATACTTAAATATCTGTCTAATTTATTGTTTTCTCTTAAATATGACAAGTATCTATTACTTGAGAGGAACATGGAGGGAATCCTGCAGTAGATAGAGCAAAACTTCCCCCCTAGTCCTCCACACATTTTCTCATTTCATCTTAGGTAAGGTATGCAAGAGTCTGTATGTAGTGCTTGTCTCTTGTCTGCAAGGCCGAAACAGACATCTGTGCGTAAGTGCAGCGTTGTGTGTGGCTTTGGGTGCCTTAATACAAAAACATGCCTATAGTATCTTATGTTTTCTCCAGATTAAAGATTAGTATCTAGAACACTGAGCAACTTATTCTGCCGATTGTACCTTATTATTTCGATCATAATTGTCATGTAGCTGGAGATGTTTCCCCACTTTGCTTCCCAGGTCCATCCACTTTCCTTTGAACCATTTCACTGATGGCTTCTTCAGCAGGCTCTCACCTGCCACTATGGCAGTGAACGTGATGTTTCCACCTTGTACGGGAAGTAGGTTAATAATAAGATTATGAACAGTGTTGAATTTATCTGTTATATCACTGCTGCCACCTTGTACATGAAGAGCTAAATAGTCAAGCAACAGGTACAGTTTACAAACATCACTTGACTCACATTTTGTACTCACCAACAGTAACTTCTCCATCCTGGGGTCGTGTCACAAAGAGCCCAATAGGGTCCAGAGGCTCTTTTGGTTGAGTCCCAGCAGATGCAGCTGAATTAAACATCAGAATTGCTAGTTAGAACTTTCTGCATCAGCTTCTGTTACAGCCTATATAATGAATTTGTGAAGTCATTTCAAAATATCTCAATATGTTTCTTCTGTCTCTGAGATTCCTTATTCTTTATGGTCTGTCATTCACCACTAGCGGTCTGCTTTCAGCTACCATCTCTACCTCACTAACTCTACAGATTCCTTGTTCCTGTTCTTCCCTTCTATTACTGAACCAGACTTGATAACAGTGTTCCTTCTCTATTACCTTCTGTGTTTTGGCTGCTTTCTACTGGTGGAGCAGGTGACTCTGAGGCAGCTGGGGCTGGGGGAGCTTTACCAGGGGGG